CCCCAAAGGAAACTTGAAAGGAAGATATTTCAATACCTAGATTCAGTGAACCAGAGAATTCTGGAGGCTCTCGGTTTAAGTAGTCGTTTTTGTTTCTATCTGTTGTTTAAGTCCGCCATACATTTTCTTTAAATTGAGATAAAATGAAGTTTCTATTTAGTGTAACTTCAAAGAATTTACCGAAAGTAAATAATCTCATAATCATTTGTAACCGAAATTATACTATTATTATATATGTACGTTTGAATAATACCGAAATTCATTACGAATTGTGAATTTCAAAAGTAATGTGAAATGAATTTGCTATTTTATAATAGTAGGAAATAATCAGCTCTCTTGAGTACTTCAAATCCTTAACTTGTAGCACTTACGCCAGAAGAACTAAGTCTAAGAGTCTTCATTTTTCCAGGACACCCTTGAATAAAATATTTTATATCCTCTTCTTTTTTATCAGTTAATATACAGGGTGTTTCTGAAGTAAATAGCAACCTTTGGAGGGTGTTAATTAAATGCAATTGGGAAGCGCATGATCAGTAAAGTAGCGTGGAAGAGACAAAAAATTTGTAAGAAAGCCAGGCGAAGTCGCAATCCTAAATACTCTAAATATTAAATTTCCAAACCACCATTGAGATATTGCCAAGGTGCGTCACCCTTTCTATGCATGGTTCGCCAACAACTCTATCCCTTCGTTAGAAAATATTAATTATAGCATCAGTACAGTATTTGACGTAGCTGATTTGCAGCGATCATACACGGTCGTACAAATCATTAGCGTTCTGCGCTGACGTTAGATACAGGCGCTGTTTCATACAACCCTAAAAAAAGAATTCAAACGGATTGAGTTCTAATAAAATGGTCTAAAATCTTACGCATTAGTTAATGCTATGATACTATTCTGCACTGACCTATAACAATGACACATTGACCTACTTCTAATGACTTCGACTGTCTACATACATATATACGTATGTAATACATACAAAGAACTACTCTAAGATGACTGTAAACATCTTCAATCTATTATATAATCAATAACAACCAATAAATGAGTACAAAATTGCAAAAGCAATACAATTTGCATGCTTCTAAGTGGCAGCTGATTGAATGCGGCGTTGCAGTGTCGTATTTCCGTGCGTAATCCTACCACCAAACATTTACTTAATTTTCTATCACCTCCTACAAGCTTGCTACTTATTTTAGAAACATCCTGTATATGTAATAATAATTATGTATTTATTTAAACAATATTTTCGATTACAGTACACCATTCACCAAAACCTAATATAACCTCAAAAATATCTGTCGCTTGAAAACGAGCTCCTTAAATAGATGGTGCTAATCCGACATGTACTTAATCGCTTTTTGTTTGTAAATTATTTATCTAATTAGTTAGTTGTCCCTCTTGTAATTACTTATTCACAAACAACTTCCTGTTCTCGTTAGGTGTCATACCTTTTGTGGATTAGATAAATTACAGTATCGGATAGTTTTAGAATAAATAATCCCTGCTAATGTAATAGAATCTGTGTAATGTTAGCAGTGATAAATTTTCCACTAGACCCTCTTCGATCTTGAGAAACGGGATTTCAAACCAGTTGACGGCGTTAAGCCATGGTCGAAGGGATATTATAGTCCTAATGTAATAAGTATGACAACGTTGAAACTGCCCCAGGGATTATGTCAGCGGCAAAGTTATGCTTTAATCGTGGAGATAATAGTTGAGAAACCCCAGCTAAGGATCAATAAAACTTATTGGACTACAATTACCACGTAGCTACATTATTATGGAGCATGTGTATCAGTGGCGGTTCGTGTGTTCAAAAATAAAGTTTGAAAAACCAATAAAGACTTAACCTACAATTAGAATTAGCTACAGTAAACTTCCGAATATACCTTACAACATGTGCCTGTACACTGTCGGCATCTCTCTAGTTAAGCGTAGGATATTAGACAGGTTGACTTGCGATCTCTTCTTCCTTGGATCACTTAGGCAAATGCTGGAGCAGTAATATTCCACCGATAATCTTTAATTCTCTTCTCTCTTCATTTCGTCCGTTTCATTTTTCTCACCCGAACCACCACCCACCCATTCCCACAATTTCTGAAAGCAGGCTGAAGAGGGCCTTCCGCCCTACTTTCCGGCGTAGTCCGGAGAGACTGCCCGCTAGTGGCTGGTGGGAATGAAACACCCAAGTTTTTTTGCGATCTTATCTCTGTTTGAGGAGAGGTGTTCGTGTTGGCAGAGACATTTATTTTATTTATTTATTGGAGCCCCTGTAGAGACTATTTAAAACATTGGAAAGCACTTTAAATATTAGACCAACCGGCATGCGTTAGAGTCCCAGAGTCCCGGTCAGCAACTGGATGAGCGCGGTCCAGGTCCGGACCGACCGCGGAAGGTCAAGAACTGGAGCGCCAAACGTTTTTCAAAGTAAATTATTTAAATAATATTTTCCGTAGACAACAAAGTATGTTTGAGTTTTGAGCGCCACCCTCATTATTTTTGGAGGAAGGAATATGCTTTTTCTGGACCTCGATAAAAATTTTAAGAAACATTCAAATACCAAATTAAATAACATTACATGCCGACGCCTGGCATAAAGATTTAGACTATTGTTTTCGTCCACTTGTGGCACCCATACATAGCCGTGCTCCAAATATACACATTCAACGTCTTTTTTAATTTCCAAATTAATTGTACGCGAAAACAAAAGTGATTCTTTTTGATAAAACTGATTTGACCCTGTGCTATTGTTTGACGAAACGTTTCTATCGATTTTTCCACACAATAGTAAAATTTGCATTGTAATGCATGTCATTCATTTTTAATGCTTTGTACCTACGACTCAAAAATGCAGTCATGCTTTGACATGCCGTAGTAACTGATTTTAAGGCCAATTTTTAAATATTTAAAAGCATTGTTGCTGAAAAACATTACTGGTTCCGTGTTACTACAAATGAGACGAATCAATTCTTTTAATTGAGTTTTTGTTGCGTAAAATAGCTTAAGTTTATATTTAACACTTCCTTTGCAATTAGCCCACTTGTACGTAATTAGATATGATTTATTATTCTGTTATCGGAGCATTGTATTTATTTTGGTCACGTTACACTTCGTCATATTTAAATTTTCATTTAGGCACAATTTTAAATTAATATTCACCATGGAACCGATTGTGTACCATTCGTTCCACTGTGTGTGCGCTCGCTTGTGTGTGTGTGTGTGTGTGTGTGTATGCGTGTGTGAGTGTGTGANCTACACATCTATAAAACTTTTGCTTTGTTTTCTATTGTTAATTTATATACATTTTTGTTTTAAGAAATTGCTAAACATTTTTGTCTAGTACTGTACAGTTCTAGCCGATCTCCTAAGACCGCACATCGAGAGCTCTGCTCGTTCAAGCTTGTTCCGACTATTCCTGTCTTGCTCACGCCTAGTGTATATTCTTTCTATCTTCGCGCAGATTTTTTCAAGGTCACAATTCTAACAAATTGAAATGGGCTGTACAATTCAAAGTGAATAATAATAGTAATTGTCTTCATAATCTTGACAACGCTCACTTGGAGGCGAATAAGTTCTACCACAGCCGTCTCTACTTACAAGCCATTCTGAAGGTTTACTTGGCAACACTGTGGGAGTCCCAGGATTTCCCAGTTAATGAGAGTTACAACCAATACATTAGTTGTTGTGTTTTTTCGTTGTTCTATAATATTTTAATTTTAACGGAAATATCGTGCAGTAAATGTTCAATAAGGATGATTATAGAAATTCTAATTAGTGTTTTCTAATGGGATGGCAGGGCTATTGGCGAACCCCAAAAAAAAGCTAACGCGCCTTGGCAATACTTCAATTGTGGTGTCCGCCGGTTTCGCCCACCATCCTATACACATGGGCTCTCGTTTTTTATTGTTTCCGTTGTCATAGTTGGTTACTAATCAACCTTTGTACACAATTAATTTTTCATTTTGTATTTTCGAGTTCAATATAAATCGGTTGTTTAAAATTTAGACGAGTGTTTCGTTTCCATTTGTCACCCAACCTCCAACAATTTTCTTCTCGGTACTAAGTACTTTTGGACTTCAACAAATAAAAAGGCTTCTGACGGAATTTAAATTTAAATACCTTATCTTGGTTTCAAAAAGGAAAATTTTACATGTAACCTTATGGAGATTTTTCGCGATAGATTGAAAAATTGACTATTGAACTTTATTTTGCTTAAGAATTTGTGTGAGTTTTTATATGTACTCGTTGAAAATGATTCCGAAATCGAAACAAGTTTTAGAGTTTCTCTAATTATTTTTGAGAAAATACGCTGTCTTCTTCCTTCGAAGTTTTTCTTGTGTTTTAAGGATGTTTCATAAACAAAAAGATAAATAAGCCGTCCACTTTGATCGACAGAAAGAGGACTCCATGAAAGTCCATAATAAATAGGTGAGATAGGAACGCCTAATACTTTTTCCCACGACGTTATATGGAATATCGTAAACATAGAAAAGCGGACACTAATAAAGAAAAAGGAATGACATTACACCAATTGATGTGTAACAGAAGGAGATGCAGAAATAAAGTTAAACATTTTCAGGAATTGAGGAAAACGAGACGCTTGTTTAAAGATATACAGTAGAATCCGCTTATAATAACAACGAATGGACGTCATACAAAGCACAGNAGTTTGCCGCCGAAACCGAAACTCGTTTTTTTTGCCGAAACCGAACTTTCGGTCGCACACTAAAGGTTAATATTAATTAATAATCTTAAGAAAATTTTAGTAACAATTTTGAGGACACCACAAAAGAAATTATAAAAACCATTATTATACACTTTAAAAATGTCACTACTGATGAAGATAAAGGGATGATCAAATTAGAAAATTCACCCTGCACCTCAATATGTATTAAGAACTAAAATCTAAAAATATTTCTCTGAGAAGAGTTACTGAATAAAAGTACACAAAAATACAAGTAAAATTGACGATAGTAATAATACTCTATTGTTTCAGAATTCGAGATTGGAATCAATCGATTCAAAGGTGATTGATGGACACGTCATACCCGGTGAAGTGTTATTCACTTCGGCAACTCCTAGAGAAATCCCTTATAAATCAGCTGCTTTCGAAGATAATCTAAAGGTTGTTCTCACATTTTCGGAAGAAACCAACGGAAAATCCAAGACAGGTACGTTAATATTTATACTCCTATGCAACTGCGAAATTACTTTTTTGAATTTTAAATCTTGAAATTTCATTACCAACAATTAGTATTTTTAACTTTTATATTGAGCACTAACCTACTGTTTACATTATTTTCTTCACTTTCTGTTTTCTTGCTAGTCACATCCTTATTCCAGAATCTTTAGAATTATAATTGCATATTGCAATTTCTTCTGCTATCGTTAATTCACTTCGATGTTTCACAAGAATGTGATTTCAATTCAATAATGTTCTCATATTATTCTATTGTCTATCGTAACATAAGACAGTATTACAGTATAAAGATTCACCGAGCGGTATAACGTAGAGGTTTAAACCATTGATTAGCATTCGGGAAGGCGCCGGATCGATTCTGGTTCCGTCTGGCTTTGGTCCAAGTTTTTCTATGGTTTCCAATATTCCACAGATAATTTTTCGTTTTCCTCTGTCTTCATTTCGTTCGTCTCATCTTTCTCACCCGAATCACCACCCACCCATTCCCACGATCCCTGAAAAGAGACTGAAGAAGGCCCTTCCGCCCTACCTTCTGGCGTAGTCCGGAGAGATCGTCCGCCCATCAGCAATAATAGCTGATGAGAATGAAATACTCAAAAGTTTAAAGTTTTTTCTATAAAGATTTTATACAGTACATTCAATTCCTAGCCACGCCCATTGTTGAGTCGTAATATCTATTTTATTTTTTTTTGTATATTTTTCAGCATTTATCTTTGTAGGTATTTCTAGCGGAATGTTTATTTTATTACTTTTGCAGTATTTTCAATTGTATATATTTTACAGCAGTTATTTGGGAATTGTAGTTTGCCGACCATCGAAGTTCAAAGATTTTATTGACCATTGTGTCTAGTTTCTATTGTAATATTCAGTTTCTTCTATTCGAACACGAAAACCCCAATAAAGTTCAATTGGGTTTTCGCTTGGGTTATGTTTCCCAGAATTCGAACGGCAAAGATGCGTTGCACGTGTGTCGGTACCCCAAGTAGCGGTTAATGCCCTTCTGGTACTCCCACTATCTTTCAACCCCTCTGTATCCCTATCTTCCTTTCATAACAAATCACGATCTTCTACTTTTTCTTCAACCAATCAACCTTTTCAAATTTTAATGTAAGTCCACCCCCAAACTATTTCCTCCACTTTTCTATTTTCAGAAGTCAGTCATTTTCAGAGGCAGTTGCAATTTGGTCTTCAATGTAATCAATCATTCGCTCTTTCCGTTCGTGTTATATTTTCATTCATTCCAATTTTATACAGTCCACTCTCTACATAAGTTAGGTTTTTTGTTATCAATTTGTTTGTGTTTATTAATCCTTAGTTAAGTGTTGTAAATAAATAATTAAATCCGAGTGCAGTTTCATATCAACAAGTTACATTTGGGTAATTCCAAATAGTGGCCCATACATAAAAGTCGTCAACCTACGGCGACAAACACCCATAATTCCCTTTCCTGACTACGCTTCACCACTTTATCCACAAAATATCCACTAACAAATACATTTTGTATCTAAACACTTCGGTAAAACTATTGAACCGTCCCGCATGAAGTTAATTTATGATGACCTGCAAAAACTTTCGGTATTTTATACAGATCAGAGGTGTGAACCTACTGTATGGAATCTTTATACTGTGACAGTACGAATTATAGAACATGCACCTACCGTATATCGTTGAATTCCACTCGCAATTTTTCAAAAATGCTATTATATTTTGTGAAAACGTGGAGAAAAGGAACTGGATAAGTTTTTCGGAAATGTTCTAATCGTTAAAATTACATCAGTAATATGTTCCCATTAGTACCACACATGCTTACGGTAATAAGTGTATACATAAAGGGGAAATGGATGAAACTTTGTAGAGATATGACAGTGAGATTCCCCAAAGGTTGTAAAAATGAATCTTTATGTCTGCAATATGCCATAAGTGTTCGCTGAAGTAACATAATTTTATTCCGTGTAGATAAAACAAAGAACTGATGACAAATAAAAGTACCAGGTAGTGTGATAAAACAATTATTTGATAGCGTTCTTCAACTTCTACAATATTAAAAGAATTAACGTTTGAGACGTGGAGGAAATATTGTTGCCATTTTGGTTGAGGGTGAAGAAGTATTATGGTTTTAACTAGAAACCTCCCAAGTAATCCTACTGTTTATATTATGCTAGTCCTGTCTTAGATACGACTCGCAAACTAATAAAATTTTGACAGATCTCGCGTGGCATGAAATTACTGTTGTATATTGTAACGAATTTTCTGGTAGATATATCTGTTTATTTAAATTTTGGCTTGTTGCTGGTCATTCAGGCGCTAATTATCATAAGTAATACATTGAACATGCCACTTGTTAATTTTGGAGAAACGTTTGCACATAAACAAAGGACACTGCAATCTAGAATCTCCACCTTTTTTATCAAACATCAGTCGTTATGACTTATGAGTAATCTTGCACATAAAGAATACACAATGTAGGTACTGTTATTTATCTGTCGAATCAGTTGTCTGTTACATTTATATTCGTCTGACTCTGGTTATTTGATGGAGTATTGTTGATTACTTCCAGAAACTTCGGTAAGTATCTTTTTTCGTGTTACTCTTGAGCACGGTATGTAAATCATTGTATATACGGGCTGTAACAGAATTGTAGAAGAAGAAACAATACAAAAATATAATATGCTGTATAAAAAATAGAAGAAGAAATATTAGGGGAGGATCAATTTTGGTTTAAAAGAAATAGAGGAACGCGGGAGGCCATTCTAGCTTTACGTGTAGCCATAGAGAAAACGATAGAAAAAGCAAGGAGTGTGTATATAGGATTTGCAGATTTAGAAGAAGCTTTTGAGTCTAAATCGACAAGATGTTAAATATACTTAAAAAGTAGGGATAAGTTACAAAGATAGAAGAGTGATACTTAGTTTGTATAAAGAACAATAGGCAGTTATAGAGATAGGGCTACAACGTAGAGAAGTAAATATTAGGAAAGGAGTCAGACAGGCATACACACTGTCACTGCTACTTTTTAATCTACACATCGAAAACGCGATCAAGATCATTAAAGACAGTACAATTTTAGGGATAGATATACAGGGGCAAAATATTAGTATGCATAGAATTGCAGATGATATAGCAGTATTAGCAGCTAGCAAGGAGGAGTTAGAGATAGCCTTAAATAAAATGGAAGCGGTGGTGACAAAACAGTACTGTATGAAAATAAATAAATGTAAAACAAAAATACTGGTATGCAAGGGAAGGACAAGTAGGGACAGAGCGAATATAAAGATAGGAAGTCAGATAAGTCAGAGCCGAAGGAGTAGTAGGGATATAAAGCAAAAGATAGCTCAGGTTCGTGTCGCCTTCAATAAAGAGAAGTCACTTTTATGCTCGCGAACGTTTAATCTAGAAAAAAGGTTGTTAAAGGCGTATGTTTGGAGCACGGCGCTGTATGTGTGCGAAACATGGACAGACAATACCGCGGATAGGGAAGATTAGAAATGAAGAGGAAAGAATAGGAGAACAGAAGATTCTATGGAAGTTAATAAGAAATAGGAAATATAGGCTGGTAGGACACCTTCTCAGGCACGAAGATCTAGTGAGAGACACATTAAAGGTAGACCTAGATTAGATTACTGTTTACAAATAGTTAAGGATGTGGGATGTTCTAATCTATCCAACAATTTATACATGTGTATGTTGATGAGTACGTGTATTCATTTGAGTCTGCATTCATTCTATAGTGACGTTTAATTTTCCTGTGATACAATGTAACCCTGGAGAATGACATCAAGAAGACGACGGTCATAGAACAAGGAGAAAGGTGGAGAGGGTAGATAGATGAAAGCAATTGTTCATACACTTTATTGACAACCTGACATTCCATTACCATGAACAGGTTGGAGTAGGTAAGATAGATAATGTCCAATTGTGACCTGGAACGTTTCGGATTCCATTCGAATCGTAAATTAATCAAAATTATTGCCCTCTAATCCGGAATAATGGAACTAAAATCGGACATCATAATAATACTGTATATTATGTCAATTGAGTGTTATCTACTGTACCCGATTACAGTATACGTGATGCCAATATGCGTCTCCCTGGGACAATTATAAATACATCATGCAAAAATAGAGACTCTCACAGAGGTTTCTAATAAAATTAATCATTATCAATATTAACACTGTAGGGGTCTGTTCGTTGTTTAACATCTGGCATATTCTGAGGTGCAATCTGTGTCATTTTATTAGATTACATACTGCATAGTCGCAGAATTGCGATCAATATCTACAGAATAAAATAATTCGAAGTGGTCTGTATTCTGTCGAAACTGCCAGATCTTTTTGGATCTCATCAGCGCGTCGCAGGCAGCTCCGACAGAACACAGACCAACTGTTACCTGCTGCCTTAACAGTGCGATTTAGAAAATACTACAAATGACGCGGTAAACGCCATCTGTAGCACGATGCTACATTTTAGGATTACGTATACTCCAACAAGGTCCACTTGTGTGGATATCTACTTGCTAAAAACGAATCCCGACGTAGCCAACCTCAACGTGATAGGCACGTTACCATAATCGAATAAAATAATTCGAAGTGGTCTCTATTCTGTCGAAACTGCTAGACGCGGATCGCTATTTCGATCTTTTTGGATCTCATCAGCGCGTCGCAGGCAGCT